GGTGTACAAATCCGTAATCACAGCATATATACTTTTTGCCATTCAAAGGTGCTTGATAAAAGCGGTACGACTTAGCGACGACAACCTAGCTCCTCCTCCGTGAGCCGGATCCACCCAAATAGGCATCGCGGGCGCTGCCTTTACTTAAATGATACCTATCTTCGCACTTACGCTCCACTTGGAAGAGAGAAGTTGACACGACCAGGTGATCCCAGCGCGCCATAAGAAGTGACGGAGATGTTGTGCTTCTTACAAACATCATGTAGCTCATGCTGAGGCCAGTAAAGGTGGAGCTCCACCTGAATTTTAGTGGGTGCTAGTGAATTTCTACACAAGGGAAAACGTCGAATCAAGATAAAACACACCTGCAAGTTATGGATTGGAACAGTTGCAGTTTTGAGAATGCGCTCGATTTGTTCACCGTTGAAATTGGAAACACCAATTGCTTTGGTCAGTCCCTTGTTATAAAGGCCTTCCAAACCACGCCATATATCTTCTACAGTCACAGAATGATTTTGTTCAGACATATCATGCTGAAATATGTTCGTTGACGTTTCGCGGCGAAAGGAATTCTGTAAGAAAGCGTGTTAAAAGGTGCCGTCAGGTGCTTCAAGGAATACAAGTTTACAGCGACTTCATTTGGGAAATTAGCGCCATAACTTCAAGAGCGATTTTCCAGAAGGAAGTCAATATTTGTTACTATGCCTGCTTAAGGAAGTTGAAGCAGTAGTTCGTGCGCTTCTGAAGACCAGTATCAGGATTAAAGTTCCATTAAAAGCTCTTCCATCATTTTCCATTGCTTCCCGCACGAGGTTCCCTTCCATGCTTTTTTTGAGAAGGCAGTAATTTCAAAATTCTACGCAAACTCATCATTCTTGTTACGGTTATTTCATTATTTTACCCATATATACCATTTTCACTTTGAATCGGACACTTTTCAAACCAAATCGGACACTTTTCAAATCAAATCGGACACTTTTCAAATCAAATCAGACACACCCCCTACAATAGGCAGTTGATGACTAGACCACACGGAATACGGGCAAGAGAATCGTAAATTGCCGCTTCGTCGCGCACGGCAATGGGCGCGACGTTTCCTTGACTGCACAACCTTTTGATTGGAGAGTCGGATTTCATGTAAACAAGAACGAAGGACACTTAGGTCTATTTTTGGTCATACATTGTCTATTCTCGACCAATACCACCTAAAATCGTCGTCATTAGCAGGCGCGACGCCCACTGGCGCGGCGAATTACGATTCTCTTGCCACATACCCAGACCACACTAGGTAATGCTGCAAGCCCAGCCCCAACATCTTCACCAACTTCTCAGCGCGGTTTTCCAAAATGTTTTATGAATTCTGCTTCTTCGACTTTTTTTTCACTTTTGCTATTTGGCACACACACTTCAACTGAAAAGGATTGGTACCGACACAGATATGACTCCGCCCACTTTTCAATGCAGCTACCGGCAAGTTTTGAATATAACATCTTCGACGACGTTCTTTTCACATTCAAGTCTTCACAAAACGCATATACTAATGCATTTGTGCAATAGCACGTTAAGCCCCGCCCCTCCAGCCACACCCACTTGGGCGGGGGATGTTGGGGCGGGCCCCTCGCAGTACACTAGTGTGGTCTAGTTATTAAGGTCTTTTGTAAGGGGTGTGTCCGATTTGGTATGAAAAGTGTCCGATTTAAAGTGAAACTGGTATATACAGGGTCATATGTCCGGTTGCAACCACTCACATTGAAGCAAGTCGGAAAGTGTGCAAGGTAAAGATCGACGTAGTCAAGTTGAAGGAGACGAAGCGATTCACGGATTCCAGTTTCGGCATCATCAGGATGACAGTGGGTGAGCCATAGCTGTAACAGATGAATATCGTGGACATAAAATAATTTCATTTCACATCCGGGTCATGGAGAAGGCGTGCCCACAGAAACAATTGTGAATGCGGCGGACGCTGTCTACCATGTTAGCTATTGAGTGCAGAGATAGCAGGGTGTTTTGTCGGCCGGCGTTTTCCTATACACTCGCTTTGTATCGCTCACAGCCGTCTCTGCCCTGAAGTGGCATCACTCCGCAGACATGCTATCGGGCTCACAAGTTCGTGAACACGCCTTCTATGGCGGATACTGTCGCATCTAGTCGGGGTGCTGCCAGGAGATGCGGATCAAGACTGCTGCAGGCTTATCTACGCGTATCTGTTGATCGCAAAGCCCTCCTCGTACTTTTTTCCTTCCTCCTTCCTTCTTTCCTTTCCTTCTCCCTTTCTCCCTCTTCCTTTACCTTCTCCCTTCAAATGCTCGGCTAGTAGACGCGATGAGAGTACACCCGTAAACCCTCGCAGCGAGAGAATGTCCGGTTGACAGAGCAATCTAAATCTGTCACTCCGTTTTCTACCAGTAGTGATCGGTTAGTGGACAATTCAGGGAAAAGAATGAGTGGTCAAAACGTTGCGTGTGGGCTCATTTCACGCCTCCTGGCACCGCCCCGATTGTTTGCGACGACACTTACTGTACGGCGTTGTGCTATTGGCTGCAGAGATATAGATTTATGTAAACGACTGTTATAAAGCTCAATGAATTACCCCTACAAGAGTTGGTGTGAGGTTAAAAAAATTGCTCTAAAACTGAATAAAATTCTCCTTCCTGGAATACTGCCCTTCAGGACAGTTCATGTGTAACTCCGTGCGAGAAAAAGACAGAGTTTTCTGCGAAGAATGTAGGTAACTATACCTTGGTTGTGATGAAAAGCTCCTCGCGAGTGATTTTTCCATCTTCGATTAGCTCTTTGATGGCTTCGCCAATAGCGCCCTCGTTTTCATAGCAGGCAGCAGTGTCGATAAGGCGATATCCTGTCTCAATAGCCGTTTTTACAGCAGCCTTGACTTCATCAGGCCTGGACTGAAATGAAAGATTTTTGGAAAAGATGTGCGACATAAGGTCCATTTTGGAAGGCACTTGTGGCCTAAAGCTGGGAGTTCCCAAAGGTATAAATTTATTACCACCAGGTTCGGTCTCGGTGTCTGCATGCGATATAGGAGCATTCCGGGAAAAAGTCTTGATTAAGATTGGATTCAGTGTTAACTAGGCGTGTCTAGCATTCAGCGCGTCGATGAAATTTTACCGGCTAATAGCAGCACCAACGTAAGCTGTAACTGGCTCCAAGTTACTCACCTGCCACGTTCCTAGACCAACTTGTGGCATCTGTATGCCGTTTGATAGCGTTATTGTTGGTCCTCCGACTGTCATAGTTACCTTCAACTGATTCACATAATTAAACCAAACAATGGCAGTCTCATAAGAGAGATTACTCCATAGGTAGAATAAAAAAGAATACTGCACAGATTTTTAGTGACATTCTCAATTCCATATTTCCATGAAAGTAGACGCCCAGATGTGGGGACGGAGTGAGCGAGTCAGAGCATAGTCAGAATGTTGTTTGAAAGCGCAGCAGCGTCTGCGTGGTGAACATCGGTATAGGGAGGGGGGAGTCGTGACTGATTATGTGAAAACACCTGATGAAAATCAGTTTCAGGTTGTAGACTTTTCTGAGTTTTTCCGTTCCATGTGCGCTATATCCCCCCGGCTGGCAGAAACTTGAGACAGGGTGCATCGTTGATGGGGATTCACCAACAGGGGGGACCCTATTTGACAGTCGAAGTGGGGGAGGTCATATTTGGGCTGAGAAAATTTTTTCATAGTTGATTTTTCTTGTTTCAGAGACTCTATAAAGGGGGGCAGGCGTCGTATTCCGCTTCTGACCATCTGAGAGAGGTCGCTGTCTTCTCATGGTTTTTTCTGTTTCATATATACTATACCAGTTGGCTCGCCTGCTAACGCCGGCGCGCCTTCCTTCTGATACGGCCCGGGACTCAACTGATATCCGCCTTTTGTTCTGTACTCCACTTTTTTCCGGTGTCTGAAGTACTCTTGAGCTATTTTACAGATTCTTCGTCTGACTCCGCCCACCTCGGAGCAGGCCCCGCCCACAATGTTTGTGCCCCACAATCCTCACCGGCGACCCTCTGCTGACCTTAATCCACTTTTTTCCGGTCTTCGGAGTGCTCTGGGACCGTTTTGCAGATCTTTTGTCTGACTCCGCCCACTTCGAAGCAGGCCCGCCCCCAATTTTTGTGCCCCACAATCCTCACCGGCGACCCTCTGCTGACCTTAATCCACTTTTTTCCGGTCTTCGGAGTGCTCTGGAACCGTTTTACAGACCTTTTTGTCTGGCTCCGCCCACCTCGGAGCAGGCTCCGCCCACAATGTTTTTGCCCCACAATCCTCACCGGCGACCCTCTGCTGACCTTCCACTTTTTTCCGGTGTCTGGAGTGTTCTGGAACCGAGCTACAAACTTTTAAAATGAATACCCTGCGATTTAGGGCAAGCTCCGCCCACTGTGGGCGGGTCTCAACACACTTTGAGCGTGCCCTATATTCGCCAGATATTTACATTCTACACTGTTTTTGCGACTTCCAAACACTCTCGCGAACCGGGTTACTGAATTTTGCGAGAAGCACCGCCCACCTTGAGTACGCCCCGCCCATTTTGGATGTGTCTGCCACAGTTAGTCTGGCGACTCCTTACTAACCTTATTCCCTTTTTTCCCCATCTTTAAGCTGCTCCGGAAGCGAATTATGAACATTTTTCTGCGGAACCCCAAACTTTCGGCGAGTGCCCCGCCCACTGTGGGCGGGGCTTCCCATAGGTCAAGTGTGCTTTTTATTTCTTGTCCCATGCCCTACCCATCCCCACCTTGACCCGACCTCTCCAAGTCGTTCTTCAGGTCGAACCGAATTTCCGGACAGACAAACAAACTTACAAACAAACAAACTTACAAACAAAAGCAACTTCCATAAACAAACAAACAAATTACAAAACAAACAAACAAACAGGCCGAAGGCGACATATGTATATGGGGTTGACGGTGATACTCCGCCCCTCCCGCTGCCCGCTCCCGCTCGCCAGCAAAAATTTTTGCGCGAAAACGTAGAAATTTTAGAATTTCGTAAATAAGGTAGAAGATTGGGCGGAAACCTAAGAAATGTTAGAGCAGGGCTTTGATGAGGAGGAAATCGAGGGGTCGTGTGGACCCGACGTACAACCTCCAAAATGCTGTTCGTTGCTCTTCAGATTGGAAACAATATACGAATCCTCAAAAGGAACACCAAAAAAGTGATAGAATTCGTAGAGCCTAGCGAAGGTCTGTAAGGGTTTGACGGGAGACGGGGAGGCGGAGCAGACCGCTGGCAGAGGAACAGGTGTGTTTTTTTCAGAAATTTTCCCCGATTACTAGAGGGTGACCTGATTGGGCATTAGCCGCTAGAATGAGCTTTACTTATACTCCGTTACTACGGATCAGAACAGGCGTCCAATTTTCTGGTTTTTGTTCGACCTTGATCCATTTTTGCTAGCGCTTTCTTACTCGTTCAGCCACTTTCTGCTTGCCGCCTCAGACCAGGCAAAAAAAACTTATAGATTCCCAGCTTCATCTTAGGCTTCTTCGCCTTCCCACCTCTCAAAAAAACCAGTGACCCGGGCCGTCGAGGTAGTCCCCCCCTGTTATACCGCACAAAAAAATTCTTTATCTAATGCCCAAATCCCCGAAATCATCTTCCACATCTAGTTGCCAGCGGGCATGCCAACAGGTCGTGAATACATTCCCTTCCAATGATTTAGAAAAAACGTTTTATCTTGTAGGGAATATTAATTTGCGCATGTAGCCCTCTCTTGACTACTGACGCCACCACCGAATACTATAGTGCCGAGTTCACTATCGCTAGCGACAGAAACTACGCCATTCATGCCTCACACGTTTCTAGACGGCGAGAGCGCTACCAGCTGTGGTTGGTAGCGATTCAGATGAGGAATGTGGTGCCAGAAAAAGTTGACCAAACGTTCATACCGTCACCTATCTGCTCAAGGAAATGCGGTGAAGGGTCACACGCACTCGCTTTTGAACGCTACAACGTCCTCCTTCCCCAGCTGTCTGTCGATGAGGCAAGAGCACAGTTTGATGCAGATATCACAATATAGTAGAACTGCTAGACAATCCATTTGCAAGTAGAACAGTGATCACCAGAGAAATCCAGAGGGCATATTTGGCGCGGTGTGTGGAGGGCTCGTAATCGTGTGGTCAGGCATACACCAAAAAGTGCGATGTGCCGTCATCAGTGGGGAGTGGGGAACGGGTATCGCCCTGTAGAAATCTGGGAATAGGTACTACAACGACATTGTAGTTTCCAAGTAGAATAATTGTATGGCAGGCATGCATCACGTAAAGCTAATCTCCAACCCTTCTGCCTGGGAGCCGAAAGCATGACGCGCACAAATGTAAGGCTAACCGACGTCAGCAAAACTAGCTCTTCTTCCTTTCCAGAGAAAGAATGCGGTCTAATTTCGTAATGAAGCGCTCAACGGCTTGGTTTGGTGTGTAGTCAGCTCGTCTCCACCAATTAATGAAGGGGATTAATTGGAAGCGAAAACAGCAACCACATTAATTGTAACGACTGAGACGAACGATGATTACACAGTCCTTGTCGCCTTACTAAAAGAGAAAACGACGGAGAAAAACGGGGGATAGTTTTGCTAACAATCACAGGATCGAATGACGTTTTCGGGAGTTATTTAGCACAAAGTCTTCCCACTGTCATGTCGCTATAGGAAGAAAGAATGCATTCCAGAATTATAACAAAGCTTTTAACGGATTTGCTCACAATAGTAAAGGATGACTGGGGCTTCCCCGAGTCATTCAAAATTCCCACACCCTTACAATTTTCTATACGGACATACACTCGCGAAACTCGCAGACCCTTCCACATGGTACTGGCTGCCCTTTAGAAACGTAACATTTACCTCTCAAAGTGTTCTTCTTTGGCGGAAGGTCACCATATGCTATGCCTCTCGTTTCAAAGCACATGCATTGGACCATTCATTTTCTGATGTAACCGCGCTACACTCGTCGCGATATTTCTTGAAACATAAAAACGGTTCAACAATCATCTCTGGTGAACCCCAGAAGAAACGCTGTACGCCGGGTCTCTTTGCAACCGCCTTCTTGGCCCTATGAGTTTGCTAGCTGAAGGAGTATTTGAAGGACTCTGTGCGTAACGAGGTTTGACTGATGGCGAGGACGAAGGCGTTAAAGGCAGCGTCCGCGATCAACCAAAGTGAAAAACCCTCCAATGAAAACGAACGCGGAGTACGCAACCACAGCGGAAATCCCACTCTTGCGGCTCGAAATCGATTGGTTGACGAGGGCGGAGTCAACAGAGCCGGGCTGACGCCTCCTGTCCTGTTAATCCCGCCCCAACTGGTTTGACAGTTATACAGTCGCTTGCTGGACATAAACGCTACCCCCTCACTTCTCTGGAGTTCCGAGCCTTCGACGTGTATTGGGGGAGAACTCACCAAAGGTCTGCGAAACTCGTCCACATGCCTTAAATTTCGTAGGGTCTTATTTCACGCTCTTCCACACCTTTTTCCTACTTTTTTTTGATTAGTGCTTAATTGGCCACCTGTTCTAACAAATTTGACCCCTGAGACCTGCCAAAGTCCATCGCGGGCGCTGTCTTTAAAGTGACTAGTGGCGTTTACGTTAAAGGGAGTTCCAAATTGGGTGTTCCGATGAAGGCAGGTATTTCTATCTGAATGGCGGTAATCCCAGCATTGCAGAAAGAGTCTTTCAGTGCTCCACTCTATCCCCCTAACACAGCCCTCAGATTATAACCGTCCTCTTTTCCTTTTGATCAGTTGGGAAGCATTTGAGAATGTATCAACGGCAGTAGCAAAGGGCAGAGTTCCTAATAAATGATGCTGATGGGATTTGTTTTGATGGTCTTTTTCCCTTGTCGTTATATGCCTGAAAGGGAAGAGGTTAATTCGCGAGTGGGAGGAGAGGCGACTGGCGCAGTTGGGCGACAGAGGGGCGGGCGAGGTGCATTTTGCACTTTTGCTACCCCATCGACGAGTCGACCCGTCTAGAGAGCCTTTTCATAAGTTGACAGGTTTACCATGCTGGCTCGCCAAGCTTGCTCCAGCCTCACAAGAGTTAACAGGTTTCGCCAGAGTGATATGTAAACCAGAGCTAGGGAAGCTAAAGTGCAAATGCTCACCCCCGTCGCCGTAACAGAGCGCCCAGGGACTCTCCATTAAGCCAGCAACAGCGAAAATGATGTAAATAGAGAAGCAAAGCCAACCCTTAACTCTACCCCGAAGAATACTGACGATCGATAGCGTAGAGGGGCCC